GCAATATATTAAAAAATTAATACATTTCAATAAACAGCATAGCAGGATTGATCTTAAAAACGCATGTCAACTTATACACATATCTACATACACTAATGCATACAGATAGAGCTGCATGCATACAAACATACGCTCGTAATGTGATGTAATGGATAATGTGAAGCACGTAGTCAATGAATTTAAGCACAATAGTTTTAACCAACAGTTTTCCCGAACGTATTTATTAATTTAAAAAAAAGTTTTGCATTTCAGATGATAACTTGCATCAAGTAAGAAGCCTAAAATACACCATTAAGCTAGACCATTCAACATTCAATCGACATTTGAGAACCTGCCGCCTCACTTGTCAATTGATTTAAGCTGCAATTGCTCATGCAAACGCGCACGCACACACAGTTTCACGTGTACACACATGTAGTCCTGCTGAAAAGAATAAATATGCAGAGGCGCAAAAAAGTGTGCTATGAAAAATATTTAAGCAGCATATGGCATTTGTTTATATGTGTATATGAGTTGTGGGCATGTGTGCATATATGTTTCGGCTGGCGTTGTGCAAATTTACACAAATCCACAGGGCGGTACACAATTTTATTTCACTGTGTTGCTAGTGATAAAATTTATAACCAGAAATGAGCACAGCGCCGAAAAGCAGGCGCACACGTGTGCCAAACAATGCCCATGTGGGCAGCACACTCGCAGACAGACACACACTTACACACACACACACAATGGTCTGGGAATCGTGGGTAAGCGTGTCCTCCAGCTACCCCCTAGCGTCCACCTTACGTCTTTCTCTTGACATTCGTCATATTTATGCTTTTTTATGGGCTATGTACAATTTTATTGTTTTACTTTTCAATGCAATGTCTGATGGCTGGCGACACACCACACCACAACACCACAACACACACACACACAAACACGCCTTGATAATCAAAGTGGCAGTGAATATCAGTGCTTCATCCAGCTGCACAACAGAGTTGAGAGCTCTAAAAGAGCTAAACAATGCGAATAACTGATAAGGGAATTGTCCTGTGTTTGTCTATGTTCTCAAAAAGGTTTTACACCTTTCGCATAATCTCGTTCAGTATTCAGCCTCAAACTAAATACAATGTTGAATGAAGTTCATAATGGTTCATAAAATTTCAGGACCGTAAAACCGTAAATATAACTATAGAGACTGAAAACGATCGCTCGCTTTGATAGTTGTAAACGTTATTTTACAAAAATCTTGCATGAGGCTTAAAAACGTGCTAGGCTTCACAAAGCTTTAATTTGGCAAATTAGAAGCGAATGTGTCTTTCAGACTCACTTGTTTTACTTGCTGACTCCTTGTGCGCTTTGGCAGCCGTACGTACACAAAAGCAAACACATTCTACTCACACAGATATATATATATTCTAGCCATGCATGTGCCACGACCTTACACCCTTCGGCGCAGCTTTTCTGAAGACATGAGCTCTGATGGTCATATGGCTGCCAATGTGCCATTGTGTCAGCTATAGCTAGGTGTTGGATAGTTCTAAAAAGGGCAATGGATTCAATATGAACGCATGCCTTGCCCCAGGCTACGTCCACAGCTGCGCCATCAACAATCTAGCAGGACTTCTGAAAAATGTTCTGGGCAGCAGCAATGGCTTATGCTCGGCAAAATTCACATAAAAGTACTTTACGACTGTGTCGAAGGCAATGGGCATAAAAAATAATTAAGTGGGACCAACATAATATTAGAAATTAAACTATATTATAATAGAAAGCACAGCTCTAAGCTATAAAGGTAACTGCGTTATTACAGGTGGTAAGTTGTAACACATATGAAATAAATATTAGCAAAGATCTATGAGTTAGAAGCCGATCGTCGTTTACCACGATTTTCCCAAGCTATTTTGCTTTACTACCCAAAACATATTCCATTAATCTAAGAACCAAATATTGGAGACAACGCTTTCCGCCATTTTAGTTCTATGGTATGAAACTTACGTCCGATCTGTGGCCCCTATTTGCCACACAGGAGGGGTAAATTGCCCAAAAACTACGAAACAACTCTTAAATTAATTTGAACGAAAAACTTTGAAAATAAGTTTGGGCTTATCACCAATTGGTCAGTCAGTCATGACAAATAGTCTTAATCTAAACAATGTAAAGAAAATAAATGAATCGGTTCGATATGTTTAACTACCGACAATTTCATGAAAAATTCTTTTATTTTGGACTTGCGAGCTGCAAGTTTACATATTCTTTGCTTTTTTTTGCTTTTTATTGATTTTATTTATTATATTCTTTCATATTTCCTTGTGCTGAGAATGCCTCAGGAAATTCGGCATGTATCTTAATATGTGTATAATAGTAATGATGATGATAATGACTTGGATACGGATGTAAGAAACAAAGATAGCAGTTACCATTATTTGGGTCTTTGTTGCGGGTGAAACAAAGAAAGGTCTCCCAAGCAGACAAAGAGGGACAGAGCGAGAGAGATAAAAAAAATGATTTTCTTTTTCTAATTCAAGTGTCAGCACAATAGTTTAAAAAAATAACATACTTTTAAGTTGTTTTTTTTCCGCACTTGTAGGCTTGTGTAGCAAAACAAATACCTGTGAAGAAATGACAAAAAACCCGTCAAGTGTAATTCACATAAAGTACAATCAAGCAACCCAAACAAAGTTTTAAGGAACAAAAAAAAACCTTTCTTTATGCAGATTTGAGTTTATTAGAACTTGATTGATACGTGGGCGAGTACCCAGCAACTTATTTAAAGCTTCTGCTGCCCTCTCAATCGGACCTACCCATCTGATGTTTATTTGTTTAGGTTGTGTTGTGTGATAGCCGGCGGCAGATATTGACCAAATATTCAACGGAACAGTTCGATATTGCCCCATAGTCACTGACAACAACTCAGACAGATATCTATTAAATCGAGCAGTCGGCCGTGTGGGAAGCAAAACTTGTGTTTCATCTTTGGTTGGGCTGTTTGCATATCCGTCGTATTATGTGCAACCGGAAGTCCATGTAGCATAGACAGAGACACACACAGGCACAGGGCAGGATGTGGTCGCTCATAAGAAACATGCACAAAATTTACGAAAATTTAAATTAATCGTCCTGACTTTGCTGAGCAGTGGGTCCAGTACATATGTGTCCGGCATTGTTTGGCCGTCAAACAAAAGGTCCTTGCTATTATCTACCAGCGTTTAAGCATGACATATGGACATGTATCTGTTACTATAGCTATGTAGGTGTGTGCGAGTGACTGCGCCTTGAGCTTCGAGCGTAATTATTTATGCATTTGGCAGACATGGCTTAGCCTAGTTCTGGCTAACACACTTCAATTGCCTCATAAAGCAATGCCAGAGACAGCTGCCAACAACAATTAGACAGCTCTGTCACAATGCCATAGTTAAATTTTAATTGAATTTAATTTATGTCTCATTTAGATGTGCCATTCCGAATGAATGCAGAGCTGGTCTTTATGTGCTGCCCATGAAAATATATTTAAAGCTCATTTTCTCACTGATTTTAAACATGACTTAATTGCTCGAGTCTTCATAATAGTAAAAACTCAATAACATAAGCTGAAAATAAACTGTAGGACTTAAACTACAGGAAATAAAAAGCAAGAAATTATTAAAATTATTTTAAAGCAAATTGTCCGTTGCGACCAATTATATTAAAGATTAATGTGCCACTGATTTTAATAACTAATTATGTTAAAGCTTGCATAAAGTATTTTTTTATGCTTCTTAAAACCGTAACCGATCGCATTTAATGAGCTCTACTTTAATTCTTCTCGAAATCAGCTACAGGCATGGTCCAAAATGTTGGAAGTCGACTACTGATGTCCTTCTCAAAGGATCGAGCAAATAAAATGCGGTCCATCCAGCTTTTACCCCAGAGTTAAAAATTAGACCACCTTATTTATCAACAGCTGTTATTCAATATAAAGAGAATTTCGCAGTCGATTGCAGCCAAATGCAACATTCAGACTTGTTCTTACCCAATTTATTAAGGCAGTTAAGGACCCAAAGCTTTACAGATTTTAATTGTAGAACAGTATTTTGGGCAAGAGGAAATTGCGATTTGCAGTCAATTGCGTAAGCTTTCAGCTGTCTGCAATATTTATGACGGCCTTAAATCCCGCTTGAAGCTGACTTTTATGAGCCTTGATAGCTTTACAGATTCCACAGCTAGAATGACATAATATACCCGAAACACATTGAAACTGGGTAAAGAAGAGTATCATATTTTTGGGCAAATGTATGCAACTGTCAGAAGTAAGCATCTCCGACCCTTTAAATTGTATATATATTAGATCAGACGATGAGCTGAGTCTATTTTAGCTATGTCAGCCTGTCCGTCAGCATATGGTATGCATCTGGCAGAATTAGAATTTTCAAGATACGAATTTGCGCCTTGGTATATAGATAATCGTCTATATCATAAGTTATAAGTTAGCCAAAAATGCATTTATCCCATTATCGAGGTAAGCAAAGAAGAAGCATAAGGCAGCTAAAATGTGTGTGGTGGCGGCTTGGAGCTGAGTGGAGCACATCGCCTAGTCGACCACTTTCGACAAGAGCATTCCATGTTGTTCATATATAACTTCAAGGATTATAGCATTGGTGTGAATATATGGATATAGCTTTAGCTCTCTCGTTTCAGTTTTACAAAACAACAACGACAACAATTAAGTGTTGCACGCACTTGAAATGCATCAATATTTTGCCTAATGTATGATATTAAAGTAACATAAAAGAAAATTTATATGGCAAGCTGTAAATATGGCCCTGCCGACATCCGTTGGGGCCTCTGTATACAACACAGACACACTCACACACACACACACATGCTTGAGCGACGCCTGATTATTTGTTTATTGTGTGAGTGTGTGTGTGTGTGTGTGTGTGTGTGTAACGTGGCATTAAATAACAGCGTTTTTTGCGCTTGAAGAACTTTTGCAGCTTTGCTTTTTTCCCCTATTCTATTTCTATTATATATACATATATATATTTTTTTCTCAGCCGCCTGCGCCATAAATTATGCTACACTTTATTATTTTGTAAAGCAAGCAACATAAAACTTTACCTTCAGCTCAGCGTCAGTTAATGGTCCAGCATACTCATACTTAGATACTTTTAACCTGACCCTTTTTTTGCGCCGTAAAATATCAGTCATAATGGCTTACTTGTTATCGGCAACAGTAGCAGCCTGTGCGAGTGTGTGTTTGTGTGTGTACACGTATTAATTGGTACTGCCTGGAAATGACTGACAGCTAGCCAGAAGCGAAACTCAACAGAAAAATATTAAAACTTTTTGTGGCCAGCGGGAACTATGATGAATTTATCACTGTATTTATTACGAAATTTGCAACCCAGCACGGATTCGGAAAACTATATGGTAGACATAACCATGGTAATTGATATAGTCATGTCCCGATGCCCGTCTGTCTCTCTGTCTCTCTGTTTCTATTCAATATTTGTATCCCCTTTCAAAATCTATATAAAATATGGTGTGTTCAGTTTTTCTTGCTGCAGGCGACATGCTTAATTTCCATGGGAACAATCGGCGTTTTTTTATTTTAGTTTGCTATGTCTTATATAATTAGACAAATTATATGCTACATGACAGCTTCAACTAGTTATACTTAGAATCTATATGTATTAAAGGGGGTACTATATTGCTGTGGCACACGAGTCTGAGATTACATTTAAACGCGCAATATATTTTTAGAAAAAACTACGCAAATGTGTTATATCATAAAGGAATCCTCCTGCAGAAATACCAGGCAGCACAAGAGATTTAACTGATTCTCTAATGCTGCGCTCCTCTCATTTAACCATATGCTGCCCAATAGACATTTGTATATGCTTGAAGTGACTAAGAACAAAGTAATTAATTAATTATGTGCACTAGTTCAAGCTGCTATCTTCTGCATCACTTCTGTCACAGCAAGTTGCCAGATCTTGGCTCGTAAGTATAAAAGTATGGAAGTTGAGTTTAGGTATATGTGTATGTATTTGGTTAACAGTTTCAATTGATTGGTTTAGGTTTTGGTTCCTGAGCCAAGTTTCCCAACTTCCCAAGCTCCGATTTTGGCTTAAACTTAGGCTGGCCATTTATTTTCAAGATTCCAATGAAACGGTTCAATATATAATTTACATATGTCTGTTTGACTAAATGTATTGCGAGCAGTACATATTATACACATGTGGCATTGGCTTGTAGCCTTAGTTTGCGAATTCATCAGAATACAGTGTCCGAAACAGCATTGAAATACATATTTAATACGAGCTCAATGGAGAATTAGAGTATGTGCAGGTCCTTACTTTGAATTTGTATTCATAAATAAGTCATTGATCAATTCAATTTAACAAATACCAGGAAAATTTTGAAATTCTATTTATAGCCAGTTGGCATCATTAAGGTTAGATTATTTTGGAGGCTTTTGGTTACCAATTGTTGATTGGAATTTTTGTAGAACACAATATTATTAAGCAAACTAAAATGAAAAGCTTTAAGCGGAATTTGCGGAATACTCACAAAATGCACAGAGTTTACATTTCATTCATTAGGTTTATTTAATCAATTTTTTTCGAGGGTGCTCTTGACCAAATCAATCGAAAAAATACATGAGGTCTGAAACCAACCAAAATAGTTGCTGTCACCGAGAATTGGACTTGGGTTAGAAGAGATTTCTGTGTCACCCCTGAATATGACGATGAAAAAAAATGGCTACTAAACTCAGAAGGTGGATATCAGAGCATGCTCCTCACTAGGCATGACGATTACACATGTTTTAGTACAAGAAGCTCTTCACAAAATTCTGATTCTATAATATGTTGTTATGTTAGACAGTCAGATTACAATGATATTATTAAATAATGTCCTATATATGTTGATTTATCTTTTGAAACGTTCTTTTAACTCTGTGAAACAAATTCCGAACTGCACAATCATTTTTCAACTATCTTAAATGATATTACGCTACCAAATTTGAGAAGCAACTTTCTGTAACAATAATGTAAGAAAATTTGAAAAAAGCAACACCTGCAAAGTGGCAAGCATTCAAAATGAGTATTACATATGCTTACCCACACAATAATAACGAATAGTAATACCAAAGAAAAAAAAATAGCTCATGTGGCACACGCGGCCATTTGGCCCCAAGACAAACCAAGGCAACTTATATTTATTGTTCAAATTTTGTGACTTCTATGTTGCTTTTATTGCCACTTTTTGCTGTTTGCTGTTGCTGTTGCTGTCATTTTTTATTTATTTTTTCCCCACTCCCACCTCCTGCCGCTCGACATCCTGTGCTAAATATGTTTCAAAGGAAATTGATTTGCGGCAGCAGCAACACGAACAACGGCAGCAAACAACAAACAACAAGTCAAACATCAGCAACAAATACGTACATATAACAAGTAAATGTTCTCGCTTCGAGAGTGCACGACTTTGAGTTACCTTGTAGTAAATGCCGCCGTCACATCCGTAAGCCTGATAATACAAGAATTTCAAACAAGCGGCGGATGAATCATGAATTTCATGATAGAACTCAATCAGATAGGAATTCCATATGTACAGATGGGAACAATCAATTGATTGGAATAAGCAAAGTATAGAAGATGGGTGCAATATCTGGAGTTGTGTCTTCTTCTCTGCCTTAAGGAAACGCTGTACAACCTTCAGATCCATCATCAACAATAGGCTTTAGTCTAAAGTTAGTAAGGGGTATTTGAGGCGCATGTCAAAGGGCTTTCACAGTTACCGAATTCGTGATTTCTGGCCCTTTCACTCACTGAGGAGGCTGCACTTAATTATAGAGTAGTACTGCGAAACATCGATAACCACCGATAGAAACATTTTTCAATTGTGTACTTTTTTTTTGCCAACACTGAAATTTTTAGACCTACTGTTGCACATCTTAGGCCACTAACGAAATCAAAAAGAAGAGATTCTATTTCATCGTTCCATGGTATATATCTTATAGGCCACCTGAAACGAGCGCGCCTTGAAACTATCAATAGAACAGCTCTGCCATTATGTCGACTATTCATTGCGACTTCTAGGTATATAATAATTCTTGTGTATTGTATTCTTGTGACAAGCAACTACAGGGTATAAGCCGCTTCATTTTCTATATGTAGCTTCGCATGGCGAAAATTTCCTTTTACCAAAAATTGCGCGCCACGCTGCACTTTTAGTGACCTACAGTCCCTGCAGACACACACACACACACACACGCAAACATAGACACACACCATGGTTTGCTATTTTGTTGGCAGCGTGCCCCATCAATCCATTGAAGCGTTCAAATCGTGCATGTCCCCCCCTCCCATTCTTGCACGCGACTAGAGGCAACTTTTGTTGTGACAGTGACAATACAACTCAACCGCCCCCAACCAACCAGCGCACCCCATCACCCACCCCCCCCTGAAAGCTCTATAGAATTCACACGCTGCGCTACTTTTCAACAGAGAAACATAAATTGTTTGGCTAATTGCAAGTGGCTTTCGTCTGTCGCCGCTGCCGCTCAAGCAAATTGTGGAGCAACAACAGCCACAAAGGAGCAGCGAGGAGCAAAGGAAGAGCAACAACAAAGAAGTTAACAAGGACCTGCTTGGAAACAATACGGGAGCCTGCTCCAGCTCCAGGTCCAGCTACAGTCGCTTTGAGTTTCATCTTTCTGCGCGTAATTGGCAGGAAAACTTGGGCGTTGGGAGGCGAAGATACAGTTCTTCCAGCCAAGAAAGTTGTCTGGGGTCACAGATCAGCTCAGAATTGGCTTGTGTCGCTGCAGAGAGTGTTGCCTTCTGTACAGCTATTAAAAAGCAAGTAAAAATAGTTGTGAGATATTTAATATTATGTTGTTTAAAGTTCGAGCTGAGATAAGAAAGTTCAAGAGGAACAGCTGCTGATTGGCCCATAAAAAATGAGACATATTATCCCATTCAAATTATCCACAAGCTAGAACCCAAACTCAGATCTGTTTGTGTTATCTAATAGATTACGATTATCTAGCATAAGGTGCAGCAAAACTATCGAATATTTTGTTAGTTAAGTGTTGAGGCAATACAAAGGATCGAAATCGACAATAACAATAAATCGCATTTCCAAACGATTATTTCTGTAGGATCTATAAAGTGAAAATATATGATATGTATTGGTTAAGATATCTTGAAAAACAGAAAAGTTTTCCATACAATACGAGTTAGTAAAATATTGCTAATAGTAAAACTGGTAAATCACAAATTTGGTAAAGTTTTAAGTTTTTGCCATGGTTTAAAAATACTATAAAAATGTATTGAGATTCAAATATTATTGCTTAAAAATATAAAAGAGCATTTGCTTCGTCGTTTTTATCTGTCCAGCTTTTCATGAAATATAATATCCAAATTAATTGTATAATGGACTCATTTAATAGTCCAATCAATTATAATGTTATATTCTGTGTGTTTTGCCTTTGGATATTTGGATATGATTTTAGGCTTTGATTTACTATTTTCCACACAATTTACTAATTTGACCAGCATATTTGTATGTTTTGATAGATTTCTCAATATTTTCATATTAATATTTTATTGCAAATGCGAATACATATTTAATGACTGAGCTTACAGTTGATTTGCCTAACTAAGCGAGCATATAGTATAGATGATTTGCCTTACTAAGCACCTGCTCTGCGTAGCTGACATTTATCGAAAGACGCAAAATTTACCATTTTGAATGGCAGCAAAACTTATATTTATAACAAAACTTTCTAAGCCAGCTTAACATTTAAATTGATTTGATTTTTATCCACAGACAAAGAGTGAACTTTTATTAAACCTATAGCCACACAGCACAATGGAAGTTCCATGGTAATTTGACGTAGAGCTTAGGAATTTCTCAACTTGTGAGCAAGGCAATTTTCTGACTTGGTCTATTGGGAATTTGAAGTTTAATGCAAATATAATTAAAGGGTCTGCATTCATGGGAATGCAAACAATGGAGGTGCTAATTGCTAAACACATATTAATATATAACAACCCAAAGTATTATAATAATAGCAAATAAAGGAAGCCAATCAGAGCTGAAACAAAATAACCTAATATCATAATGAAAGAGGCTTACGGGCTATGCAAACAAAGAACCCGATGCTGATATTCTGCAAAAAGGCCGTTAGCTCTAATGTGCAGAACATGAAATACCCTTTATAACATTGATGTTATTGATTTCCCTTTAAATATTGCTTTTGCTTCGGAGGCAAATAAACAGATATCAGATGTGCGGGCTTTTTCTAAATATATAAAAAAAAATATAAATATATATACATATATATCTTCTGGTCAAAGTGAATCAAAGTCCAAAATACCTCACTTAATATATGTAAATCCTCAGCTAGGGTATCATAATATTATCGAAGTAATAATTAATCCTATACATATTGGAACATGGAAATACCAAATATCAAACTAATGAACTTTTCACCTCTACCCCCCCACACACACACACACCCAACATTGTTTCATTATTTCTCTCTGCATACATTTCCCTACATGTCGTTTAGTGGTTGTCGTTAACCAACAAATGCGCTCGACCACAAACCTATTGATTATAAACCTGGCCGTCTCGGACATACTCTTCGTCATCTTCTGCGTGCCGTTCACGGCCACCGACTATGTGCTGCCGGAGTGGCCATTTGGCAATTTGTGGTGCAAATTCGTGCAGTACATGATTGTGGTCACATGCCACTGCAGGTGAGTTTGCTGAAAGCTTAATATGGCCAGTGTAACATCGTGCTGCGTTACAGTGTCTACACCCTCGTTCTGATGTCCTTCGATCGCTTCCTGGCCGTCGTGCATCCCGTCACAAGCATGTCCCTCCGCACCGAACGCAACGCCACTCTGTAAGTAACAACATTCTACACTAGTTCTGATAGTGCCTGTAATTACGTCAATTAGTTCGTGTTTGGCCAATGGCTTAGTTTGGGCCCCAAGTTGGCTCGAGTTGCTTTCGGTGCTCTTTGGCTTAGCACACGGCCGTAGTTTACTATGGTGTATACCTATCATTTTTGCACATTTTGTTGGGCATATGTGCTTTCCAAATAATAAATCTTCATATCGAAACTGAGATTCGAGTCAACTTAATCCACAAAAGAACACACATTTGAATGTATTTGATAGATATATGAGGGTGAGCTTAAGCACTTATACTTGAACTACGAGGAATATTCAACGATTGGATTAATTTTTTTTTTTTAATTAATTTTAACTTGACATTTTTTTATCTTCGGTAAAATTTAAATTGACTTTTCAATATCTCTAGCAAATAGACTTTAATTTTATTAATATTATTTTTATTTGTATTATTCTTGAAATTATTATTTATTTAATTACTAAAATTTCTTTTATGCTACTCTTCATTTTGTACAATAATTATATTTTTTTATATATTAATATTTTGTATTATTGTATGTTTAACTATTAATTAGCGCTGTATGCCAAAAGTATACTCTTTTCATGTGTAATATTTTCCAGTTAGATTAAGCGCCAGGTTAATAAACAGCTTCGATAAACATGTCAGAATAAAATCGAATTTATTGACATTTAATTGAATTAAAAAATTAAATTAAAGTGCTTGCTAAGCTTGACAGGAATATGCAAATAAAAAACAGACATTCAAATGGCTGCCAATTATCTAAACCATTTGATTTTCTTTTTTCTGCTGGTTTTTTGTTTATTTTTTTATTATTATTTTTTGCACGCAGCGCCATTATGTGCGCCTGGATAACAATTGTGACGACTGCTATACCCGTAGCCCTGGCCCACTCGGTACGGATCTATCAGTATCATGGACGTGCTGGCACCGCCTGCGTTTTCTCCACCGAGGAGGAGGTCTGGAGCCTGGTTGGCTTTCAGGTAAGTCAAGCAATTGATTGCACGCTTTGTGGCCTCTAATCTGGGTGCGGCTCCCACTACGTTGCGCTAACACCCCGCCTTCACTCCGTCGCTCGAGCCTGTCCCGCTCTTTGATTAATGTGTGAGCATTATTCATGCCTCGCCGCCAAATTTGTCACTAGCTCGCGGCTCTACACACGGAAATTGCGTGAAATTGCAGAATGGCGACATAAGTGACGTCTACTCCAAAAGCACACACAATTTCCATACAATACATCGTGTATACATGCATATATATTGCTTATTGTTGGCGTAAACTCATATTTTCCAGTGCTTGAAAGTAGCTTGCAATATATTTGCTACTTACCACACTCACTGCATCCACAAACACACACGCACACACACACAGTACTCAGCGCGGAGTGACAAACACGACAGGGACAACGACGTCGCGCTGACAGCGTTCCGCCAGGATTGGAGCCCTGTCGGAGTCACAGAAGCATGTAACCAGCTGCACTGTGCAACTGGCATTCTTAATCAGCCGCATTTCATCTGATGACATCAGCCCAAATGCTAAATTATTTTATAAAAAATTATAGAGTAAAGTCCTAAGCGTTCAAAATAACTTACTTTAATAGCAGTAGCTACTATACCATACTACACACAGACACTAGCCTGGACTTGGAATCAGGTCGACATTCTTGAACTTGGGGTTTGGCTCCAACCGTGGTCTGCCATCTTAGGCTAATCTTAAGATCTGCCAAATCGCATTAACCGAATATTGTTAGCTTCAAATAATAATTATAAAAAACGTAGAGTTTCGATCTGAAGAGGGTTTGCGATTTAAATATAAGACTTGAAAATTTTAAAGCATACCTATCTACAATAAAAAAAAAGCTAACTGCAATTTCTAAGCAAGTATCAAATTTCAGCATTTGTGACAATTTTGTAAAATGCTTTGATTGAAACTTGAGCCACTGTGCAAACACACTCACACACAGCCAAGAACACATTGTTGTTGTTTAGCAACAGACACTCAGACATGCAGACCAGACAGCAGTCCCAGTCCTTACATGTACATACATTCAGCATGAGCTAGCAGCCGGCGTTAGAGACAGACAATGGCGTCGAAGCCAATGTACAACTTAATAATGCTGGCATTCCCTCCAAGGGAGAGCCAAATTGTAGTGTATATTTTGCAATTAAGTTGCATTTCACCAGTGCCAAGGGAAAACAAACTGTATACAAAGCAATCTTTGTGCAGCGAGAGAAGCGGTCTTTCACATCGCGGGAAAGTTTCCCCAAATGATGATTTTGTTAAACAACATTTTTTCTGCGCATTTGAATTGAATTTAATACGAATGAAATTCAAGAGATTTGTCGCCGACTTTTCGACACATTTGTCTGATCATTTAAATGTAAGCTAAATTAAGAAGTACCTATTATATTTGAAACAAGGTAATACTCCAGAATACAACATGTATAGTTAATAGCAATGCAAATCACGGTATTTTTATGCATCCAATAACTAAGCTTGATTCGATAAGTTTGTTATTTCACTCTAGTCTGCTGTTGGTCTTAAGAAAAACCCGAAATTGCCCATATACTTATGTAGATATATGTTTTTTATTATTATTTTTTTAACTTTGTTTTCAAAATATGTTTAAAGGAAGTAAAAACGTTGCCAGGTTGTGGTTATGTTCCTTTTTTAGATTTTTAACATTTTTTAATGCGTTTTAGGTAAGCCCCAATTTATATATTTTTACCAAAAAAATATTTAAATTCTCCTCGAGTATCGTCAGTTCCTTCTTTACGATTTTAGTTGCATATGGTGTTTTTCTGCGTGCTTCCATATTGTTTTCTACCCCTATTTACGTTTATTACATATTTTTTTAAATCTATTTCACAAATATTTCTCATACCGCTCTAAAAGAATTCAATGCCCAGTTTATCTGTAAGAGCTACTACTCCGGTTAAAATGTTTGCTTTGACAAACTACGTCCATGCTTGGAGGGCCCATTCAGGCAGTCACTGAGTGCTCTTAGCACCTTGGCCCAGCAAGCAACAAGGAGTGCAAATCGTGGAGTGCGACATCTAACGTGGACTAGAACAACAGTATGGCGTGTCAGAGCAATTTCAAGCCGGAAGGATGTGGCGAAGCAACCCGCACTTGTGGCCAATGTTGTCATTCAACACAAACATCATCACAACAACAATGATAACCCACTAACTGCAGTTGTTCGCCTATTTGTCTGAGTATGCGTGTGTGTGTCTGTGTGTGTGCGCGCATGTGTGAACATATACCTATATACGAACACCAAGTGCTAATATATGCACTAGTGGAGCTCGCGTCTAATGCTACTCATAGAGCAATTTACACAGCTCCATTCGCTGACATTGGCAAGGACAGGCACGGGCCTAGGAAGGAAATGGGGAGCCGGGTCGATATGTTGCGCCGTCTAGCATAGCATATAAATCACAATTACTTTGGCGACAAGTAGAAAATTTCGACCATGGAACACCCTGTAAGTAGATATAGGCAAAACAGAAATCGGAACGCTGCTTATTGCTGAACAGGAATTTATAATGTCAAAGCTATTTCGATTTATAAATTATTTAATAAGAAAAAGTGAATGAGATATCCTCCAAGTCAACAGGGACATGAGAGCGCAATATGAAAGGTACTACAAGTGCGACTTCACATATACGCTGTCCGCCTGATATGGCCGCCAAACTTGTGCCATGGTTGGATCTTTTATTTGGTTTTGCTGTTTATTTGGCCTGGACCCCCAAATGTCATTGCCATGCTTCAATACTTTGTTGTTGTTTTCTGTTGACAAACAGTTGAGCATTTCGCTGGCAAATTTGGCGTTTCAATTTATTGCTCGCCCGCACATAAAAATGGATCAAACTTTTGACGCCTAAACGCATCACAAAAAAAAAAAATAAACAAAAACAAAAACGAATAGAAAAACACAACAAAAATATGCGAGCAACATTCAACTAGCACTTCACATGTACAGAAAAACAAAAGCAAGAATGCTCTAGTCGAGAGTGCCCGACTGAAAAATACCCTAAACAAAGTTCCCTACAAGCCAAGCTCCCACGCAGCGAAATATAAATAATCTGAGTAGCCCTTATTGTATATATTTATAAAATTATTTTATAGTCAGAAGCTGGCAATAGATATATATAGATTCCAGGGAAGCAGGGAAAGTTTTGTGAATATAGATATTAAAAAGTACTTAAACCCTCTGAAATCAACGCATACCCTTTCAAGCTATTTTATAGGCACAGGGGAAACTGTTGTCATCGTAAATAAATAATAAAATAAAACAACAAGGCTAAAACAAAAGCAAAAACACGCCTCGAATCTGCCCCGTGTGGCATGCGGGACCACAGAGCCTCGGTGGCTCCACTTTATTTCAAGTTTAGTTTATTCCAGCTCTTAAAGTTATTCGTTCTTGAAGTTGCGGTAATGTGTCGGTCAAGGCTTAAGTGCTTTTCATTTCATTTATTGCAAACACTATTTGTTACCCATGTTCCAGCGCACTCAATTGAATTAAAAAGTTTGCATTTCAAAGAATTAACATAAAATGAATCCTTAGACTCGGCATCTTGGTTTTAGGTGCAAGAGACTCATTAACGATCTTAAATTCATATTAAATACGCATTTTTGCTTTCAGCTCTTTGATGAGTATTACAAACTAAATATTTTACCAAAGTTTTCAGTAAAGTCAAAGCTTTTTTTAAAACCAAAATTTGTGTGTGCTAGTTACGCTCCCAGCATAAATTTAAAGCAACATTTCTGCATTTAATGAGTTGAAAAATAAATAGAAAACTTTGCATAAAAAGTTCTCAGTTGCCTTAGTCGGTTCGTCGATGAAACGAAATGAAACTAATTGCCTGGCCAAATGATGAGCGCACATTTAAGGATGTTGCCCTACATTCATTTTAGGAATTTATGATGCTAAACACTTCAGATGATAGACCATATAACATGCACATAGTACAATGCATACATGTTAGGCCATAACTATATTTAGAGTTTGAAACGGCATAAAACTTCGTCTTCTCAATGGGCTACTTCCGAATTTTTAGCCTTAGCTATAACAGCTATAGATACGATTGCCTCAGATAGAGATACATGCAATGAAATTTAACTACATTGTGAAAATAGAATGGCCTAGGGGGGGTTGATTGGAGGGCACATATTCCGGATGTTTCTGTCATAGACACAAGTTGAAAGTATACGAGAAAACTTGTAGGCTAAACTTTTTCTACGCGCCTTTAAACTTTATGAGCCGCCTAATAAAAAGCCATAAACTGAAGTGTATGCCATATGATATACGAGAACCAACCAGACGATGGCAGGGTAGTTTGCAGGGTGTGCAGAGTGTGTGGCATTGGGGACCGGACCGACTCGTTAATATTTGGCGTGCTCAAATTGCGCCTGGGATTTAGCCATATAGCAACACCATAGAAACTGTCGCGCCTGCTGTCACTCAGCCAAATTAATCAACTTGAGTTCGCGATCCCCTCACGCGCATTATTGGCCCAGTTTTTCCGGGACACACATTCAACATTGACATTAAAGCTCTAATAGTTTTCTCATATTTGCCACAAGTTTATGAGAGAATGAAGGGTACGACTTTATAGCTAGAACTGCGGGTGTTGCGCTTAAACAGAGCTGAGTAAGGTCTCGTAAAAATATTACTATATTTTCGATATTCATTGGTTGTGAGGCGTGGGTAATGGAACAGTTTTTCGTCTATTGCTGATTGAGTCACTATTTAAAATGATATCTACGTAATACTTTTTAATTACTCTTGAAATATCAAGTTACCTTAAGTAAAAGAAAAAAATTGAATAATAAAATGATACAATATAATTCCGTATTTGCAAACATTTTCCAAAACACAATACAATGCTGCTCCCCTATAAAATAAGATACTTTGCTAAGTATACAACTGCAGTTAAATATTGTATAAGAGAGAAAAGATCAAATAACGAGTTATACAACGGGTCATGGAGATATGTGTGTTACGTGTTAATCATTGTGTCAATATTTTATAAACAACAAAATAAAAACTGCAATTTTAGCAGTTTATTTCGCTAGTTTTCGCCTCGAACCAGCTTTCTTTGTTTCTTCTTCTCAATACTCAATAGAAAACTGCTCCCCCATAAAATAAGATACTTTGCTAAATATACAACTGCAGTTCAATATTGTGTAAGAGAAGGTAGATCAAATAGCGAGTTATACAACGGGTCACGTGGATATGTGTGATACGTTCATTGTGTGCGCAGTGGGCCGTAAATAGCATTATTTGCTTTCTATCATTAACTTGGTCATCATTGTCATCGTTATCGTAATCGTCATCGGGCCGTCTGACATTGCCCTTGCAAATTATGTCCTTTGCAATTTATTCTTTAATTAATACGTCAGGAATGCAAAACAATCGCAATATTCCCAACATTTTGCTTCTTTTTTTTTTCTCACAATAACTCTGTTAGACTGACGGCGTGGCCCTAAGGGTCTAGGCTAGTGGGTTGGCACCCGCATCATATCAACATCCTGGCTGCTCCTTACAGGCGCAAATGTCAGTGCAGATTACGTCGACGACGACGACTGTCGCCGATATCACGGGACATGTTCATTGGCCATGGCGCGTAATACAACCAAAGTGATTTCAATTCCGGCGCTGTCGGCCATTTTGCCATATGAATGAATGGGATGGTCCCCCACCGCCATCCCGATCCACAAAAGTAGGCTGTCTTGTGGGTTGTTGGTTGGGTCGTGTCTGCGATTATTAACAATTGTGCCATGCGCGATTTCCTTTAGCCTCGTTTCATCTGGTTTTTCCGTTTTCCGATTCATTACATTTGCCCACCTTTGTGCATTTT